CAATTGTTGCCTGTGTGTTCATCAATATATAATACTATTGAGGAGTTTCATAATAGAATGAAACGGTCATTCAATGCTTTTAAGTTATCTAATTTTGATCGGTTTGTGATTTCATTAGAACAATTTTTTTTTTGGTTTTATAGAAAATGACTGAAGCGATGCTTAATAGTTTTAAAACTTAGAAAATTCAATATGTCCTTCATTTTCGATTATTTTGCTGTTCATTTAGTCGGTCCTTGGTGGATATTAAAACGTTATTTACGTACTTAGATAGCAATTGAAGCATTAAATTTCATTACATTTATTATTATTTTTTGTCTAGAATCTTGAACTACCCTGTAATGGATAACTTTATAACAGAGGATTAAGGATTTTGATGGAGTTTCGTTCTCTGAGCTGGATGGTTTGGTCGTGGAGCTTTCATCGTTCTTCTGAACGACATAGCCAGGACAAACTTCAGATAGAAGTAAAGTGTTCGGATTTCTCCATATGCGTTTCATAACTTGTTCTGTGCACCTCAACGCTGATTGGTTCTTATTGACCTTAAATTTCGTCCATTAAAACTGAAACTTTATGGAAATAGTACTCTCATATATACTCCTCACTCACCAAATAAAGAATAAAATGACGGAAAATGCTAGACACAACATCGTTAGTGAACATTGAAAATTTCGCGAATAACCTCAGTGAATATTACTTATAACCTACTAAATACTACTTCAAAACGGAACAATCATATATATATCAGAAGGAGGTTTTGTGGAGATTTTACTAATTTAATAGTTGAATTCATGAGTCAAGTGATGCTAAACCACCATGGAAAACCTGAAAGCACTGGACGGCCGTTTCGTCATAGTGTGGAACTCCTCAGCAGTAAGCATCCACGGTCCCGCCTCGCGGGATTCGAACCCAGGAAATATCGGTCTAGCGCGCGAACACTTGACTTCTAGACCTCTGAGCCAACCGGCATCCAACGGTGTTAATGTCTAACTTCAACCAATCCACAAAATTACACCACCGTCCACCATTGTCATCAGTTTGTTACTATCTCATAACAGACCCAGTTGAACTCCATTGGTCGTCCAGTGCTTCCAGGTTTCCTATGGTGGTCTAACTTTAACTAACTCATGAAAACAACTATTAAATCATATATATCCCAAGAATTTTGAAATGCATAGTGCACATTTTAACATTCAAATATAAGATGTTTAGGAAAAAACGGGTTAATCTGAAATTAGTAAATTAATAACTTTACAAAAAATTCTTTGTGTTTTATTTAACGCATCATAATTAGTTCTGCATATTTCTGTCTCTCAGTTATGCAACGATTACTTACGCCTATTACTCCCAATGGAACATAGGCCGCCGATCAGCATTCTCCAACCCACTCTGTCCTGGACCTTCCTTTCTATCATTCTTCTTATGTCTGTCCTCATCCCTTGGCGTAATGTGTTCTTTGGTTTTCTTCTTTGGCCTTGAAGATTCCATGTGAGGGCTTGCCTTGCTACGCAGTTAAATGCTTTCCTCAACATGTGCCCTATCTACTTCCAGCTCTTCTTTCTGATTTCTCCTCCACTGGAATCTGGTTTGTTCTCTCCCACACAGGGTTATGCCATGATGTCATTAAACATAAATTTTCAATAAGAAATCCTAACTAATCAAATATTGTACACTCATTTTGTCCCGATCAGGTTTAGTTTGGTAATGAGTATCAATAAAGTCATGTAGATAAAGACTTCTAAACGGGATTTTATTCTTTACGTGTATGTACTAAAATTAAGAAAGATTGTGTATCGTCGTGTTTCGATTATTTCTCCGTTCAGTTTAGAAGTAGATGACTAACTAACTGGTACTTCAGGAGTATCTGACTCGACTTCAGAGTTGGGCAGACAACAACGGACTTAACTTTAACACTTCAAAGTGTAAAGTAGTCCGTCTGAGATATGTTGCAGACTATAACTACAACCTAGGCAACTCCCTTCTAGAGGTACTCCAAGTTGAAAAAGATCTAGGAATGTTGGTAACTTTTTTGGTAACTGATTTTAAGTCTTACGCTAACTGTGACAAAAATGCCTTCCGAGCAAACCTTGCACTGGTGAAAATTGAAGCGCATTTTGGCCAGTTTGATGGAAAAACTGTTCACATAATTCTCAACATTTTTATTTGTCCCCATTCAGAATACGAAATCATAGTATTTCATCCCTCACTTCGAAAGGATAAGGACACTTTGGAACGTATCCAATGGAGAGCCACGAAATCAGTTCAGGGACTCAAATTCAAGTCTTAAGAAGGACGCCTCCAATCACTGAACCTTTACTCATTAGAATACAGACGTCTTAGAGGTGAATTTCCAATGGCTTACAGCATCATAAATACTTCTGAACATTCCTATAAACACCTACTTGAACTTAGTTCTAACACAAACCTTAGGGATAACACCCAAAAAGTGGAGATACAACACAGCAGAACGGACTGTAGACACACCTTCTACTTCTTAAGAGTAGTCAAATGCTGGAATTTTCTGTCGGCTGAGCTAGTCCAAGTGATTTACCAGGAGTCCTCTAAGAGAAAAATTGACATATTCTTATAGACTAAGGATAATATCTTACTATAATTTACTAATTTTTCTTCTTTTTCCTCTTTTATCGATAATATACCTAGGTATCTGCCTAAAGCCTGTTAAACGAAAGCTTCTTCCATTCCGTCCACAACCATTTGAACTAATAAGTTTCTCATATCTTTTGATCAATATTTTATACATCACCAGGATATATATATATATATATATATATAATATATATATATATATATATATATTATAAAGGTGGATAGTGGCCGACGACCAGTACCGAATAGGACAAAACGCGCGTCCTGGATTTCACCTTTGCTTACCAAGCTTATGACCTAAGAAAATATCGAGGCAATCCGCACAGGATGCACATATACCGACAAGAGACTGATCAATTGTAGTCCTAAATAACAATAGGACGATACAAGTAAACCAACACTAAGTGAATGCCAATAAGTTGTTTATTTACTAGCATGAAACTAGAACAGTTTCTATCTACTTATAAAATAGCATCTTTCAATTGTTAATTAAAATTAATGTCAGAAGGGGTTATTTGTGGATATTATAGTAATTTCAATAATTGAGATCATGAGTCAATTGAAGGTAGACTACCATGGAAAACCTGGAAGCACTAGACGATCGTTTCATCCTAGCATGGGACTCCTCAGTAGTGCGTATCCACGATCCTGTGGACCTACCTCACCAGTGGAGTTCAACCGGGTCTGTTGTGAGATAGTAACTTACTGATGACAATGATGGACGTGTCGCTCAATTTCGTGGATTAGTTGAAGTTAGAAATTAACATCGTTGGATGACGGTTGGCTCAGTGGTCTAGTGGATAAGCACTCGCGCGCGAGACTGATAGGTCCTGGATTCGAATCTCGCGGGGGCGGGATCGTGGATGCGTACTGCTGAGAAGTCCCATACTATGGCGAAACGGCCATCCAGTTCTTCCAGGTTTTCCATGGTGATCTAGCTTCAATAGATTCATGATTTCAACTACTGAAATTAAAATTAATGTGTTTAATAGAAATGAATTCTCAAATCATAACAATCGGAAAAAAAATTAGCGTCTAACATCTATTTGGAATATATTAATTCTCTGAAAATTCTAAATATAAATTCAGTTAATCACAATTCTTAACTATCATTAATATTGTCATCAAAGAATTCTATTCAATGAATGTTCCTCTCTTCAAATCCGTATTAATCCCATTCTTGTCGAAAAGAAAATTTCAATATGTATATATTCCTTTATTAATGAATAATCATTTCATTATTGTTAATCTCTGTCTCTCTGTCTCTCTCTCTCTCTTTCTTCCTCTCTCTGTGTTTCCTACTTTTCTTTATATTCAATACAAAGAGCATTAGAAACTACCTGTCTAATTTTGACCTAATCTAATCATTATTAAATAAGCCTTGTCATTTGCACAACTTACCATTTATTGAATATTCTTTCTCGTTTTTATATTGTTTGTATAATGTTGTAAACAGTAATGTCAGTAACAATGGGAATAGTTGTTGTTGTAGAGAAAAAAAAAGTGAAGAGGTTTAGTTTTCTTGAAGAAAAACACAAAAAGAACATACAATACAAGTTTTGTTCATTATTCCCATGTTTTCAATTAATCTATCTATTGCATACTATACATTAAGGCTTGTAATCTATTCAGATTTTATGAATGTATCTGTGTATATATGCATGTGTGCTTCGCACTCTCTCTCTGTGTGTGTATGGGTGGGTGGGTTTGTGTTTCAACATCAGTATTATCATTGTTATAATGAAGTAATCATTTATAACACAATGAGAACTTACATATTTTTCCTTCTTTTTGCTGTGATTATGTTCCAAGCGATAGCACTTAAATTACTTTGTATGATATAATATATATACATGCATATATGCTTACCCATCTAACTATCCTACCTCTTACATGTACACACATATTTATGATGTTTCTGTGTGTTTAGTAATATTGAACAGGAAACTAAAGAAAAAAGATGCCAAGCCTTAGAGATTAATAGAAATATTTGAAAAGTAAAGAACATCCTATTCCATTTATTTCATTGCTTACCATATCTATTACCTATTCATTTCACTTAGTCATGTCACAATTTAAACATAACATAAGTGATTTTCAACAATAGTAGAAGAAATTAAACAGAGATTAAAATATGTAAGTGTTATTAATATTAGTTATAGTGTTCATAATGGTTCAGCAGGCGATAATCTCTAACATAATTTACAGTAATGTAATTGATCATGCTGTTTTTTGAAGTGTTTAAATGTATGTATGTAAGTAATTAAGTAAGTAAGAAAATAGGTAAACAGTAAACATTAAACATTTACATATTTTCTTTAATAACAACATTAATCAAAAGAATGATCCTAAAGTCATAAAAAGAATTTTAAAAAATTAAGGTTGAAGTAATGTTAGAAATAGTCTTCACAAACCATCATCATCATCATCATCATCATCATCATCATCATCATCATCATCATCATCATCATCATCATCATCATCATCATCATCATCATCATCATCATCATCATCATCATCATCATCATCATCATCATCATCATCATCATCATCATCATCATCATCATCATCATCATCATCATCATCATCATCATCATCATCATCATCATCATCATCATCATCATCATCATCATCATCATCATCATCATCATCATCATCATCATCATCATCATCATCATCATCATCATCATCATCATCATCATCATCATCATCATCATCATCATCATCATCATCATCATCATCATCATCATCATCATCATCATCATCATCATCATCATCATCATCATCATCATCATCATCATCATCATCATCATCATCATCATCATCATCATCATCATCATCATCATCATCATCATCATCATCATCATCATCATCATCATCATCATCATCATCATCATCATCATCATCATCATCATCATCATCATCATCATCATCATCATCATCATCATCATCATCATCATCATCATCATCATCATCATCATCATCATCATCATCATCATCATCATCATCATCATCATCATCATCATCATCATCATCATCATCATCATCATCATCATCATCATCATCATCATCATCATCATCATCATCATCATCATCATCATCATCATCATCATCATCATCATCATCATCATCATCATCATCATCATCATCATCATCATCATCATCATCATCATCATCATCATCATCATCATCATCATCATCATCATCATCATCATCATCATCATCATCATCATCATCATCATCATCATCATCATCATCATCATCATCATCATCATCATCATCATCATCATCATATCATCATCATCATCATCATCATCATCATCATCATCATCATCATCATCATCATCATCATCATCATCATCATCATCATCATCATCATCATCATCATCATCATCATCATCATCATCATCATCATCATCATCATCATCATCATCATCATCATCATCATCATCATCATCATCATCATCATCATCATCATCATCATCATCATCATCATCATCATCATCATCATCATCATCATCATCATCATCATCATCATCATCATCATCATCATCATCATCATCATCATCATCATCATCATCATCATCATCATCATCATCATCATCATCATCATCATCATCATCATCATCATCATCATCATCATCATCATCATCATCATCATCATCATCATCATCATCATCATCATCATCATCATCATCATCATCATCATCATCATCATCATCATCATCATCATCATCATCATCATCATCATCATCATCATCATCATCATCATCATCATCATCATCATCATCATCATCATCATCATCATCATCATCATCATCATCATCATCATCATCATCATCATCATCATCATCATCATCATCATCATCATCATCATCATCATCATCATCATCATCATCATCATCATCATCATCATCATCATTTATTTGCTAGTGAGTAGGTGGCTCTGTTTGAATTGGGAAGGTTGATGAATCCCTCTGAAGAAACCAATTTTCATGTCTGGTTAATACCTTATTTACTCAAGTAGTATACATACTTGTGAGGGATAAATATTTTCAGTGAGGAATCGTATGTTAATGGAAACCTAAAGGATGAGCTATTAGGATTTGCTACTATTAAATGGGTAAAATACACTTCTAGTTTTTTATTTTATTTTAAGAAATGCACATTGTATTCACACATGAAATACATCAATCAAATCGGTCAGTGCATCTCATAGGTAACTCCAACACGAATAAAACATTGTTAATCTAGAATTACGGTAGAGTAGTAAACTAGGCTGATCTCCATTGACTATTAATGTTAATTTATAGGATACATTTCCACTATTCTTTGAGAATAGCATGAATATGTATGTTAGATTTTGCTGAGAAGTGACTGGGTATAAAGCAAATTATTAAAATTCTAGTGAGAAGTCGTAATTAGTTTCTAATCATGTAGAAAGTGATATCGAAGTAACCGATGACATTAGTTCATGGATGCAGTATGTAACTATTCGACCAAAATGAGAAATATAGACTGGTGGATTTCAGTCCTATAATTTAACGGTAGTACACTTATTTGCTGAACTTTGAAAATCTTAGATTAAATCAGTAGTGGAGTAGTGGTATGTAAACAATAATGATAAGCCCTAAAATAGAATGTTAATGTTCAGTATTTTTTAGCTTTCAGTGGTTATCAGTCCATGACTCAATCGTTGAATCATATGATGACTGTGGTATGAAAAGTGAAAAATCATGCTTTCAGTTTCGTGTTTAATGGAAGATAAATTAAAGTATCGCATGATAAGTATGTTTGAGCATTAAAATATATTTGGTTACAACAGAACAAATAATAATCCTATGATAAGTTTTCCTATGTAACCTAAATAATAGTTGCATTTGAAAATAAATATATTTAGAAAATGTTTTACTTTTCACTTCAGTCAGTCAGTCAATAACGTAGAACTTCGTACGCACATACATCAGTTCGAGTTGCCATATCACATTACATTAGCACAGTGATGCAGTTGTAAATTCAAATCACATACTGGTAGCAGTAGCAAAAGTATAAGCAGTAATCGGAAAGAATAGGGTTTTAAGATGTTATTCATGGATTAAAATTCAGTGCAATAAATATGGAAATAGAAAAAAGTGACATGAAGAATTCAGAAGATTAGAATTTTGGAGAACACAAAGAGTGGATGCACCTGCGCCATTGCAAACGATTTTGAGCCATGTCATTCAACGTCTCTAACCATCGGTTGTTATCATCTCGCGGATCCCAACCAGATCTACATCTACCAACATGACTCAGTACACTTGTCAGTGACTTCATGGATTTGTGTCATGTTTTGGTCTGGCCGCCTCTAGCTTTCTTCCAACCTACTCCTACACCATAAAACATTGCTCGTCGAGGCAGTTGGTGGTTGGGCATACGTAATACATGTACCAGCCACCTCGATTGATGTAGTTTCACTAATTCACCAATTGATTTACCATCTTTATATAGTACTCGTTTACTAACAACTGAATTACTTACTCAGTGGTCCCAGGATATACGAGCAATGCTTCGAAAACACCTATGATCGAATACTAGTAACCTACGAATATCCTCTATATTCAAACCCGGGACCTACCAGTCTCTCGTGCGAGAGCTTAACCATCAGACCACTGAGCTGGCCAGTATCCAGCGGTGTTAATGTCTTCAAACACATTCAGATATCATCTTCTTGGTTAATAAATAATAGCAAGAACATGTAAACAAGTGGATATGCACACACCTAGTTGATTAAATCCTATTGAGAATAAAACCTACATCCTGAAATATATTTACTAACTATAATTTACTCTAAAATTTCAGAAATCAGGGAGGAATTCGGATAGACTGGTAGGCTCTGGGTTCGAATCTCTTGAGGCGGGATCATGGATGTGCACTGTTGAAGAGTCCCATACTAAGATGAAACAGTTGTTCAATACTTCCAGATTTTCCATGGTAGTTTTACTTCAATTTACTCATCAATTCAATTATTTAAGAATTCTTTGTTTGTCAAAAGAATGAATTCAGTTTAATACTGAATATCAACTATGGGAAAATATAATTGTTCATAACTAATAACAGTAATATACTTCAATTGTTGTAACTAAGTAATTCTGTTTGTTGTTGGTGTTGTTGCTTATTTATTTTTAAAAAAATCATTTATCCAAACTATTTATTCCATTTAATCTCAGCCGATCAGATAAACAAAGAATTGGATTTGTATTGGTAATAGGACGAATTCACCGCTGAAACGTAATTCATTAGATTAGATTACTTTGTATTAGTATAAATACTAATACCAATGTTATTATTATTTGTGGTAGTAGTAGTAGTAGTAGTAGTAGTAGTAGTAGTAGTAGTAGTAGTAGTAGTAGTAGTAGTAGTGGTAGTAGTAGTAGTGGTAGTAGTAGTAGTAGTAGTAGTAGTAGTAGTAGTGGTAGTGGTATTACGGTTACAAATAATAACTATAGTAATAATTAGATTTAGCGTTTATTAATCCATTAATGTATGTACAGAATTGTAAAACAACAAATTGCATAATTACCAGACAGATTACATGTTATGTCATCAAAACTGTAGATAGAAACTAATTGAAATTAGTCACAAAATAATATTGAATGGTTAATAGTGATAAGTAGTTTTGAAAGCTTATTAGTTTTGTATATAGATATATTCTATTCTTTAAGGTTAATAAGCCTTTTACAGCATGTATAATTTTTTGATTGAGATCATGAATCGATTGATGTTAGACCACCGTTGGAAACCTGGAATCACTGGACGGCCATGTCGTCCTATTTTGGGACTCCTCAGCAGTGCGCATCCAATAACACCATTGGATGCCGGCTCAGTGGTCCAGTAGGTCAAGCGTTCGCGTGCTAGACTGAAGGCCCTGAATTCGAATCCCGCGAGCGGGATTGTGGATGCGCACTGCTGAAGAATCCCAAAATAGGATGAAATGGCCGTCCAGTGCTCTCAGGTTTTCAACGGTGTTCTAACATTAATCGGTTCATGACCTCAATCAAAAAATTAATAATCTCCACAACCCCTATACCGAAGATGTATAATTGTACATACAAGCTTGTACAATCATTTTGGAGGGGGTCACATTATAGATAATGAACCATTACTACTGTTGTTTTTGTTGTAAAGTTGATAAACGATGATTATCCATTATAGGTCTTAAATGATATATTCTTTCTATGACAAATCGTCTTACCAACTTTGTATAGCTCCTGCAAGAATAATAGATAACTGGAAGAATATACTGTAGACATACTAGATCAGTGACTCAGCCATTCAGCTGCAACGTAGGACCAGGCACATATATGCATCGGTCCAAGTTGCCATACTTCATTAGCACAGCAAGATGAGCATCGGATTCATAGAAGTAGTTAATTCAGAGGTGGTAATATATAAAAGAAAGATTGCATACAAGGATATAGTACAGGAAGAAAGATTTAGTACGTAGAAAGAAAGATATGAAGCGATTTTAATCTCTTAGTTTAAGGGAAGACAGAGAGTGTATACACCTACACCATAGTGGTCGATTCTGAGCCATGTCACACAGCCTCCAACTATTAGTTACGATAATCACGCGGATCCCAAACAAGTAATCTAGATCTATCATCATGACTCAGACTAGAAGTTAGTAAATTCAAGCACTGATGCCACGTTTTGGTTTGGCCACCCCTAATTTCTTCCAACCATCTCCAACACCGGTTAGCATTGCACGTCGTGGTAATCGGTGCTCAGGCATACGTAACACGTGGCCCAATCATCTCAGTCGATGAAGATTCATAACCTCATCAACTGATTTAATATCATTTCCTAATACCATGCCTCTAACTTCACTATTACTTACCCGGTGATCCCAGCAGACTCCAGCAATATTACTAAGGCATCTGTGGTAAAATATTAGTAGCTTACGAGTATCTTCTACTCTTAACGGCCACGTTTCTAAGCCGTGAACTAGAACAGAACAAACTACCGCGTTGTATACTCGTCTCTTAATTGATAGACGGATATCTCGCCTTCGCCATAGGTGACGTAAGTTGACAAAAGCCAATCGAGCTTTTCGAATCCGTGCTGAGATTTCGTCAGACACCAACCCATTAGGGCTGATCAGACTTCCAAGATAAGTGAAGTTGTCGACGCGTTCGACTACTTCACTTCACTTCAGTGACTACATATTTCATAAGAATATGAGTTAGAATTAGTGGAAAAGCTCAAGTATCTAATTAAATAGATGTGAAAAATACAGTGAATAGATGCTAATCTAAATTAACTTTAAAAAAAAATATATTAGCATGAAACATGAAACATTGGTTAAAGGAATATTGAAATATTGATACTTCTATCTGAGAATATTCTGTTGATATGAACATCCATCAAGCTTTAATTCTGATTATATTTAGGTCTAATACAATATAGTTTATCCTAAAACATGCTCGACAGTATATGCCATCAACTTCTAGTTTTAATAAACAAATTGTCTTGATTACTATTTCTAACTGATTTGTTCCAGTGTTCGAATGTAAACTCATTTGATATGTTTACCAGATCGTTAACTCATATGTTCTTTATTTTAAGATTCTCACTTACACAGTACTCTCTCTACTCATTCTTCTACTGAATACAATGAACCATTAATTAGGTGTCCTAAGTTTTAAGGTAACATAAGGTTAACCATAGTTTTCTTTTAGCTTTTTATCGTTTTAACTTGTTTCTTTTTTTTTCAAGGAGGTGTATTTTTCTCGACTACTCATTGCTTGTTTTACATTTCTGTCTTTTTTCGATACAACTTTCTTTATACACTTGACTGACAGTCAGTAGGTGTATATATACACATACACACATACACACACACACACACCAATATTCAATTAAAATAGCTATTCAAGCGTT